ATAAATTATCATTTTGTATATGTAATTTTTCTTTTAAATGTTAGCCTTTTCTATTATTATATTTTAAAACAATGGTAAAATAATGAAGTATTTAATATGGTCTAATTTCATGGTAGTTGATGTTTAAAATGTCATTAAACAATAACGAATTATGTAGCGTGTGTGCATGCCAGTCGTAAAGGTTATTGAGTGCATTATTACCATTAAGTATGTCCGATGTAACGCAGCTCAATGGAGTTTGAAAACCGCGGATTCCATGAAATGCGTCTTCATGCGATGTTCCGTGTTCGATGATAATTCCCTTTCCCTTTTCAATTGCTTGTTTTTCTCCTTTTGGGTGAAAATATAATCAATTGTAAGGAAATCTAATATAAAAATTGTAAAATATATGAAAAGCAAACTTATTTGAAATATTAAGTATAAGTCATTAACTCACCATTTGAAACATCACTGAGAATCCAACTCGATTGCGTCCGAACAACACGTCGTGTATTAAAAGCATCATGTAGCAATTTCCTTTTTTCAGAAGGAACTTGTTGTACCGTTTCTTGATTAACTGCAAAAATTAAACATGTTAAATATTTAGTTCAATATAGGTAAAACACATATATACAATCTATATAATTTAAACGTGTTCATGTTGGTTAAGAGAAGGTCTATTTCGAACATGATGTCAAATAAAATTATTATTCTATTCGTACAGTTGAATCGTTACTTTAAAGTTCAAACGTCATATAAATGTAAATGGTGGTATTTAAATGTCAGATGAGGTTAATAACTAACCATTCGTTATGTCTGTAAGAACGCAAGCGGATCGCTTATGAACACCACTCATTCCATAAAATGAAGCATCTTGCGGTTTTATGGCTTCGTCCATGATATTTTTTTCCCTTTCCATTATCAAGGTGGTCTAAAGTGTGTTGACAATATATAAGAGATTATTTGACAGTACACATTAACAATAAGTAAATATACCAAACTATAATGTTAAGTAGTAGTGTAGCATGCACACCATTAGTCACTTCGCGAGTATTCCGCGCTCTTGGGTGCCAATTCTCTTTCATGGAGTATTGTTGAGCAGGCAGCACATTCGAATTGTTGACAACAATACATTCGTAGAAGTTGAAATTATGCGAACACTTATACAATTATATTGTTATTTTATATATATAATAAATAGTACAATTCTTACTTTCTGACGTATTGCTTGATAAATCATTATACCCAAAAGCAATCTTTTTCCTTAATATTGATGATCTCTTAGCATTAAAGGTACCTGAAAGAAATTACTACATAAGATTCATAATAGAACTACAAATCTTAAGTGTGGAAAATCAACGGTTGTAGTCAACCAATAACATATGTATTAAAACGTACAATAAGTATTGTGAAATATGAAAAGATAGGCTATTTTATTGTAAAACGTTACCAACAACTACATTTGGCGAAAATCGCGGACTGTCGGTGTTGATCTTGAGCTTAGGTTTTGCAACTTTTTTGTCAACCGGTTGTGATGAATATTCTAAATACATAAAAAAAAAGAGAATAAAAACGAACGTGTATTGAAAAAAAAATCATCTAATACAGTAAGAAATTGACAAAAATAAATGTTAATTAAAGTTATTTTTCCGAATAATATACTGATTATACAGTTAAACAAATGTACATATGAAATGAGAAGTAAAATATATTTTATAGATTATTATCATATGAACGAAAATAATTAAATTTGTATTATTTATTAAAGTCTTACCAATAGGTACATCATAGAGAATGGATGTATTCTGTGAATTCGGTGATTTCGCTGTATCGTCCATCTAGAAAGGATACGATGATGCATTCAGATTACAATTAGATGCCAACATTGGTATAACAGAAAAAAATGTGTATATTAAATTCTGATGATAAACATAAACTGGTTCTTCCATCAAAATATTGAAAAGACATAGCAAGTAAATCGCATGATATGCCAATGATTTTGACCAAGAAAGACATGGTATTGATTGTATATTATTTAAATTGTTCTTAACTTTGCAAACACACAACAATTAATTAAAACAACCATCAAATCCAACAAAAAATGAATTTGTATAAAACTGACCTATATATATTCGTATACTTCTGATGCGTGGACAGTTCAATTAATTATGAACTATTCAGTTTTGTGCCTAACCAACTGTGATAATCATTATTTGATCAAGTTTTGATAGTAGCATGCGTATGTAGAAAGAAAAAAAAACAAAGATTAGTGCGGTGCTTAAATATATAATTAAAACTGTAAATTAAGATTCTTAATTTAATTACTATGGAAAATATATATAATTCTAGATATGTATACTAATGGAAAGTATAATAATAATCGAGTGATATTATACATACATATATACTCATTCCTAATCTTATTTTTTTTATTTGAACACTATTATTTTATTTCATCAAATAAAGATTGCATTCTACATAGTTAAATATTGAAAAAAGATACTCATCAATTAACTAACACCAAATTGTAAATATTCATATATACACTTAAAATAATCAAACAAAATTAATTAGTTAGCTTAAATAAAACGGAATTACCTAATTTGCAACCATCCCATATAATTGAGCAAATATATATTATTTTAATTTAGGCATATATATGACCCACTAATAGGGATGAAAAATCGAAAATATAATAACCCACTAATATATGACCAATTAATTTAGGTAATTAATTGAATACCATTAATCAAAAATGATTATAAAAAAAAAATGAATAAACATAAAGCATACGAAAACAATTAATAGACCCAAAAAAAAATTAAACTTACTTGTGTAATTTGTTGGGTGAATGTGATGAGTGTGATGGAAATGGTCGGGGTTTTATAACTTGTGTTGAATTTGGTAAAAAAAGGTAACAATGTATAATTGGTTTTATAAGCATAGCAATATGAAGTTTTGAATAAATAGGATGAAGAAAATGAGTGAAGCCAATATGACATTATATAGTTTGTTTGAATATGTTGTATAAGGAAAATAAATCATTTAATTAAGAAAGAAATTGTAACACTAATTGTGCAATTTCAATTATAAAAATTCAAACGATTTGGACAATCTAAATAATTAAGGACAATATAAATGGAAAAAATGGAAAGAAATCATTATACCTCATTTGTAGGGGAATTAATTCAAATTACCGCTAATTGAAAAATCAAAAGGTATGTAAATGTGAGAATGTTAATAATTGATTATATAAGGTATGTAGATAAAGATTATTTAGTCATTTGGATTCAAATTAATTCAAATTAATTGCATATATTAATTTATATGGTATATAAATATGCAATTGTATTTATATACCTTATATGCAATTAATTTACGTGATGAAAATGTAAGTAGTTTATTATATAAGGTATGTAGATATAATCTTTAGTTAATTATTTATATGAAATGAAACTTATAGAATAAATAATTCAAAATAAGATTATTGTGCATGTGATGGTGTAAAAGGAAAGTGAACCAAAGTCAAATAAAGAAAATAAATGGGGTCAAAATGGAAGATGACATTTTTTGATTGTGAATTTTCCCATTATTGATTATGTAGCTAGATAGATTAGATTTTTTTAATACGTAATAAATATACTTATTACAAAACAATATAATTAAATAAGCATTCTATTACGATGTATAGTTTTTCCATTAAAATAAGCATTTTATTTTTTCCATTGAAATAAGTATTATGTTAAAATTTGCAAAGTAATATAATTAAATAAATAAAATAATAATTAAATAAAATTTGCATAATAAATTGAATTTAATAATATGTATATTTAAGTAACTATTAAATTTACTATTTTAATTACGATGTTTTCCATTAATTTAAATTATTTTAATAACAACATTCTCCGTATATTTTAATCACATATGATAAAATAATTTAAATTAATGAAAAATAATAATTAAATAAAACTTGCATAATAAATTGAATTTAATAATATTTATATTTAAGTAAGTATTAAATTTACGACGTTTCCATTAATATAAATTATTTTAATAACAATTGGTATTTTAAAAATATTTTTCATGGTTGGCAAAAAATACAAAAAACATGAAATTCCTAAAGTGGATAAATTGTTTCATAATTTAAAATAAAGTTTAATGACATTCTATATATTAAAACAATGTTTTATAGTGATAAATTGGAATGCAATAATAATTATGGAAAGAAGTTCACAAGTAAAAGAGATGAAAATATTTGGGATCAAAATTGAAGATGTTAAAACTTCAATTGTGTATTCTCCCTTTATATATTATATGGATTTTCTAAAGATTATTACATTCCAATTAATTAAGCTCAAGTGTCTAATAAATAATAATAATAATAAATAATAATAAAGGGCAAAATGGTAATAGAACACGACCCAAACATCACCCACCGGTAACCCTAGAGACCCCTAAAAAGCAATTAAAAAAACAAAATTAAAATTAGCAGAGCCCCCACGTACTCCTGCAAGAAAACAGTACCCTTTCTTGAGATGAAAACCCACTAAAATTTTGGTCAGAAAAAGGGGCGGAGAAAAACCCAGAGAAGAATCTAGACAAGAAGAAGAAGAAGAGAGAGAAAAAAGAAAATCAAGAAAAAATGAAGAGAGAAGCAGCGGCGGAGGGCGGCGAGGGAGAGGGTGAAAAGGGCGGGGAGAATTTCTGCCTGAAAAGTTTGTTGGATAAGGGAAGCGTAGAGAGCCATAGGTACTATTTGGCGCGAAGAACGGTGCTGGAAATGCTGAAGGATCGTGGATTCGCGGTGCCCAGTTGTGAAATTGAGGTTTCGCTAGAGGAAGTTAGGAATAAGCATGGCCAGATTCCCGAGGTTGACGAATGGGGGGTTTCTTCTCTTCACAAGG